TAAAATAAATTTAATAATAATTATTTTTTTTGTTTGAAAAATCACTGACATAATATATTTTAATTTTTTTAAAATAAACTTTATCAAAAATCTTTTTTAAATGTAATTATTTTTTTGTAAATGTAAGTACTTTTTTACTATTTTACCACTTTATCGTTCAAAATATGAATGTTCATTGGGTTTTTTTTCCAGATTTTTTTTCCACTATTTTACCACTTTAACTAGTTGTATATGTCATAAGAATGTATCCAACATGTTTTATAAAAGTTCAAGAAGTTATTTAACATGTTTTGGATTGTTCAACGACTTATTTGTTACAAAAATTGTCCAATGACTTATTTAACATTTTTTGGAATGTCCAAGGACTTATTTAACATATTTTGAAATGTCCAAGAACTTATTTGTTCCAAAAAATTGTCCAAGGACTTATTTAACATGTTTTGGAATGTTCAAGGACTTATTTGTTCCAAAAAAAAGTTCAAGGACTTAATCATTCCAAACAAGAAAGTTCATTGGTTTTTATTGTACTTTTCCCTAAGATTATTGGTCTTTGCCTTAGCATTTACCGGATAAGATTCTTGGTCATTGACATATTCACCTCGTAAGATAATGTGACTTGGTAAATGTTTACCCGGATAAACGTTTCGTAAACGGCTCATTAGATATGTGTAGAAAATTATTCATTTGGCAAAGGAAGTGAACTTATCTATACTTATTACGTATATCATATTCAGTTAATTTTCTCAATTTACATATATATGTTCACAGTTACTGAATATATATATGAATGAGTTATATAAAGATATGAATAAATTGAAAATATGTGTATATGAAGAGCATACATGATAGTGTAATTATCTAACGTACTTATTAATAGAAATTCAACAATCATATCAAATCCAAGAAATAAAAGGGTATCGAGTTCATCGGGTTGGGTTGAGTTCAAATAATAGTAACCCAATACCTAAGGTTTGACAATTCATAACTCGATTAGACATCGAGTTGCTTCGATTTGAATTAATTCGTGTTGGATTAAGTTGGCTTGATCAAGTTAGTCGGGTTTTTGAACACCTCTACACAGAAGGGATTCATATTCATGTACAGGAAAACATCAAAATTACAAATAAAAAATAAAGAAAACCCGAAAATAAAATGTATATAATTAAATTTAATGGATAATAGAAAATATAGAAATGTATCACAAAAAACCAACGTAAACCATGTACGCTGTCCCGTATATTGGATAAACAAAACAGCAAACAAGCCACGTTAACAAATCACATCCACAACAAGAGGTGCTTCTTTCGCAACCATCACTCATCACCACCGACAGCAACCGCCACCGCCACCGCCGCCACTCTTCCCTTCATGGATTCCATCTTTTTTCACCACCCACTCTTCCCTCCATTTTCCACCACCACAAGACATCCTGCAGCCTACGTACCTCCCAAACCGCCACCAATTTCCAGCCACAACACACTTAATTTCACTTGTCGGACACTTGGGAACGGCGGGGGCGCTGACAACGGTTCTCTTTTGGGTGTCTCAGGTTCCGACGCCGGTGAACTCTTTCCGTCGCCTGAAACTTTCACGACGGTTGATGCTGAGATAACCCCTGAAACCGTTGATTTCTTTGTTAGTGATGCTGAGGGTGATCCAGATTGCCCTTCCGACGGCTTCTCCTCCGTCGAGGACGCTCTTGCCACTCTCCGGCTAGGGAAGGTTAGCGACCATCTTGATCACCATGATTACAATTTCCTTCTGATCTTTATAACCCAAACTCTAATACATGTTCCATCATTCAACCTGTTCATAAATTCAAAAAATCTAACTTTTTTATGGCTATTGATGCAAATCCTTACAAGTTTGTGATCGTTGTCGATGACGAAAACGGCGATATCGAAGGAAACTTTGTATTGGGAGCATCTTTTGCAACACCGGAAACCACTGCGTTTGTAATTCGGCATGGCTCCGGGATCATATCGGTCGGCATGACATCGAACGATCTCGAGAGATTAAATCTCCCTCTAATGTCGCCGGAAAACGAAACAAACTCTTTGGCTCCATCGTTCACCATCACCGTGGTATTGTTTCGTAACGATTTTAAAAGAAACTATATCAATTTCGTTTTTTTAAGTATATAATATTTTTTTTATTAACCTGGATATCTAACCCGTTATGCGAGCTGACTAATCCCAGAGCGATCACCTGCTTTGCAGATAGTCCAGAGTCACCGCATTTGAACCTCCATAACCACAAGAGAATTTTTATTTCTCCTTGGATTTAAACATGAGACCTCCTGGTACTTTTGACTTTTGGAACCAAGCTCAAACCAATCAGGCACCACCCTTGTGGTTAAGTATATAGTATTTATATGTATGATAAATGCTCGCTTACAATCATTACATTTATGTACTTGACCCCTAGACCTCCCGACGTAAGGAGGCTAGGATTTACCAGTAAGTCGGATACCACTAAGCCAATAACATTTATGAAATTACTCACAATCACACTCCGTTTCTTTCTAAGGATGCAATCGACACATCGACAGGAGTATCCGCCTCAGATAGAGCGAAAACGATTCTTGCTTTAGCTTCTCGTGATTCTGGGCCAAGAAGTTTTAGAAGGCCTGGCCATGTTTTTCCTCTAAAGTATCGAAACGGTGGGGTTCTAAGACGAGCTGGTCACACGGAGGCGTCCGTAGATCTGGTCAAACTTGCTGGTCTGGATCCAGTTTCCGTCCTTTCAACTATTGTCAATCCGGAGGATTGTTCTATCGCGCCATTGAACCGTTTAAGAAAACTAGCACTTGACCACAGTATCCCGCTAGTTTTGATAACCGATTTAATCAGGTAAGCTTCGATGCCAGTCTAGATCGCTTTTCTGGTTTGCTAGATTATTATTCTGGTTGGCTAGATTATGATTATAGTTTGCTAGATCATGAATCTAGTTGCTAATCTTTATTCCTGCTATTTGTTTGCTCACACTTTTGCACAATTCAGGGGTTTTTACGTTAACAAATGCTCTACTCTTTGCAGTAGAGGTCTGATCTGCGTGCATCTCACCCCTCCAAACCCTACTTTCGAGTGGGATTTATGGGGTCCATTTGTTATGTTTTATGTTTCTTAGTTTGCTAGATTACGATGCTGGTTTGCTAGATTATGATTCTAGGGTGCTAGAAACGTAAAAGGTGCAATACCCTCGATAGATAACGATTTTAGTTTCCATATACATGCTCAAAAATGTGCTTGTTGTAATCAGTTTTCGGGAAATTGCAGGTATAGAAGGAAGAGGGAAAGACTAGTCGAAAGAATCGCGGTTTCTAGGCTACCAACAAGATGGGGTTTATTCGAAGCTCATTGCTACCAATCAAAACTTGACGGAACCGAGCATATAGCCGTCGTCAAGGTACAACTCCACGCCTTTTTACCATAACCATTTGAAGACCTTGGGGTGTTTACGAAAACAGTCGCTCTACTCTTTGATCAAGAGGTCTTGCGTACATCTTACCCACCTTAGACCCCAACTTCGGGTACGATATACCAGCTTCTTTGGTTTTGTTATATCGAGACCTAATGGTTCGAATTTTCCTGGTGAATAGGGAGACATTGGGAACGGTCGCGATGTGTTAGTAAGGGTTCACTCTGAATGTTTAACCGGAGACATATTTGGGTCAGGTCGTTGCGATTGTGGCAACCAATTAGCGTTAGCGATGCAGATAATCGAGGAGGCTGGCAGAGGAGCTCTTATCTATCTTCGAGGACACGAAGGGAGAGGTATAGGATTAGGGCACAAATTACGTGCATATAACTTACAAGATCAAGGCCACGACACTGTAGAAGCCAATCTAGAGCTCGGTTTTGCTCCTGACGCACGCGAATACGGAATCGGTGCCCAGGTCAGTCTAATGCTCATTAAACCCTAAAAGTATCGCATAACGAATTAACAAGTGGTTTCTTTGGCAGATGCTACGAGATATCGGAGTTCAAACAATGCGTCTAATGACCAACAATCCAGCCAAGTTTACAGGACTCAAGGGCTACGGTTTAGCAATCGTTGGACGAGTTCCTGTATTGACTCCGATAACGGATGAAAATAGGAGGTACTTTGAAACTAAGCGAACAAAGATGGGTCATATATATGGGTCAGATATACCCGACTCTTTAGTTGGTCCAATCATCGATAAAAATGACACAACAGATGTGTGAAACTTACATCTGGTTCATTTTTACGGATGGTTGGACGAAATTATTTAAAATTGTTATATTGAGGTTTTAATAGCTCAAAATCTAATGTAATTATGATACAACAAAAATGACAAGAAAATTTATACACACCCATTGATGAAGACATGAAACTTGATGGTTAGCTTTTGTGTGTTTTCTTCTGGTTCAACATTTTATTGTCTCTATAATCACATATTTTTTACCATCTAAAGGCTAAAGCACAAAATTGGGTTATGGGACAGCCATCGATTTCTAAGTGTCTTAATAAACTGTTTTATATCTGCAAACGGTACTTCTAATACTGTATTTGAAGCAGTTGTTCGAATTCCTTTTTATAATCAATTCGATCCCCCCACAAACCATTCCGACCGGCGGTAAGAATTTCTTCGAATATGTCCTTGAAAACTCGGGGATTGACATTCCATCACTGTCATTATATAGACAAAAATAAAACATTACGTCTAAAGGTGTTGTAATAAGTTTATAGGACGTTTTTAGACGTCTTAACAAATCTTTTAGGATATATTAGAAGCGTCATATTAGCTAGTTTATAAGATACTTTTGAGGAATTGTCATAAAAACCAATTTTTACAAGTGTATTGTTGAAGGGCCTAATGCTTCCATGACTTTTTTTACTGTCAGCTTGAGACGTTTTTCTCGAAAAAGTTATGTATGTTACTTATGTGTTAGATTATGTTTTTATTTCTGATTTGGTTACATTTAGAACGTCTTATTTGTTTGCGTCATCAAATTTTTAATTATATGATTGCGGAAAGTTTTGACAAACGAAAGTTTATTGCACATTTCTTGTCGTTGTGAGGTGATATATCATTATATTTCTTCTAAATCGAGAACTTGAACTTAAGATATTATCATCCACAAACATGCAAATAATATTCAACATGAACATTAAAAAGTTTCTGTTAAGAATTCAAAAGTTTAGAATCGAGTAAAATAGCCATATATGGCAATTGCAACGGATCTATGTAAAACATTTGCGTTCTGTTTTTAAACGGATCCAATAGATATAATTAACAGATTTAGTTAAAAAACGAGTTGAACACGACATAAATCATTATTTAAAAAAATTATTTTCTTATTTTGATGATAGTTTTCACTAATAATATTAATATATTAGTTTTTATGAAAATTTTAAAAACCAGGAAGATAAGTATTGACGAGTTAATACAGCTTATTTTGACTGATAATAGAGATCTATCGATATCAACCAAATTCATTTTTAACGTCTTACTTGGCTCTTTTTATCCATTAGTCAAACAATTTGGAATCACTAGTTACATGTTCTTGATTTACGTCTCAACTTGAGTGAAATCTACCGGTTCAAGTTAGCCCTCAATTAAATCTTGAATTATTAAATGACATTATTTATTCATTTTTTTAAATAATATTTAGTGTTGATAGACAAACCTTTTTAAAATTACTAAAAGGGTACTCGTGCAATGCATCGAGACACATTTCAATTTCAATGTTTCATTTTATTTTTTTATCTATGTCGATATTATACGATTTTATGTGCTTTTGGGAAAACAATAATGTTTTTATTTTTGAATAAAATATAAATTTGAAAATATCATATATAAAATTTGCAAAAAATATATCAATATTAGTATCAAATTAACTATTTAAAAATTCTTATTTGTGTAATTTTTTTTAATTCAAAATTTTTATTATAATTTAATTTAACGTAACAAAGTAACTTAATTTAGGTTTAATAATATATTTTTTAATAAACATAATAATTAAGTATTCTGTTAGAATTCAATAATTATCCCAATTATATTTTAAAATAAGATGTTTATCTTTTATTTGATTATGTTGATATGAGATTTACATAATTAGAAATAAGCATAAAACCATTGTCATGAAAATCAAAATAAAAATCCCAAAAACAAGATATCCACCGTTAACCATATACACCCATTATATATCAGAAATCTTTACAAAAAAAACAAAAATAAAATCTGGGATCTTAATGTAACCTTTGCCTCTTTCCAATTGTCCCTAAATTACTACCACCAGGACAAGCTGAAACCATCCTCCCTTGACTATTGCTACCAAAATTAACATCACCAAAACTCAAACAACCACCACCGCCGCCGCCACCGCCGCCACCGGCCGCCATCATCTGAGAAGAACTCCCGCAGCCCATTTCTACATAGGGTTGTGGTTGTTTAAATACCATTGTTGGTGATCTAACCAAGCAATTTGAGCCACTCATGGTCTGTTTCTGGGCTACACTGATTTGATCCATCGCAGCTGTCATCGGTGGAATGTTGAACGCCTGAAGTGGCGGCGGATTCCGCCACCTGGGAAGCGGGCCCGCCACCAACAACGTTTGCAGAAGTGGGCCTGCTTCCATTACTGCTTGGAGTAAGTTTCCCTTTTGTGGCAAGTTCTTACCTTTTATCATACCCTCCATCACCAAAGTAGCCTGATCCACTTTTGGTGATAATACGCCATTCTGATGGTAATCTTGAACAAAAGGGGTTTCAAGATTGATGTTGGAAAACTCAGGAGACGAAATGGGATCGAAAAGCGAGTCAACGGGCGACGAGCTATGATTATAGGCATCAGAAAGACTGTTTGATTCAGTGATACTCGAATTCGCTTTAGCAGGCATCAATGGATTCCCTTGATGAATTTGTTGAAGTTGATCGTTCGTGAAACAATTAGGAATCGATGGGTTCGTGGGGTTGAAGAATTGTTGGTCATTTGTGGGCACAATCTTGATGAGTAGCTTTTGAAGTTGATCTTTTGCTTCATCTCTTTCTTGGCAAGCTAGCTTTAGAAGTTGTAATAATTGTTTCGTCGATTCCATATTTCTTTTCATTTCTTCATCTGTTTCCGCCTTCACTGCTTCTAGTTCAAGTGTTGTGTACAAAAGCTTCTGCTTGAGTTCATCAATGTTCTGCAATTTCAAGAAACTGAATCAGTTAAAAACCAACACTATTAACTTCCAAATTGTATTCATGATGGTGAAAATTTGTGATAATTTGCAGAGCCATAAAGGAGGTTTCAGGAGAAACCCCTGTAACGGAGGCTAGACGGGCACAAATGATCCCATATTGTTGAAAAGGGTATACAAAAGGCTCTGAAACCATGTCGAAACATGTGAAATCCCCAGACCGCCCTCCAAAAAAGAACCCTTTTGGGGAGAAAGGGGTTCATATGTCGAGGGTAAATGTGTCTAGTCTAGCAGACGTGGGAATCCAACAAGATTAGATTCCAAGACTGTTTAGACCATCTAAAGGCATACGAAATACCATTCAAGAAAGTTTGAAATCCATAAAAAAGTGACATTTAAACGTTAAATGGGACCGAAAAATAGATCTCTAGATCCCTTAAAACACCAAAAGGCAGACCAGATACTGATCAAATAACGATCTTGATGGGGGTAAAAATGACATTTACTATTAAAATATGCAATATTGTTCAATGATAAGAAATGGTTAAGAGAAATCAACATCAAGAAAGACTTGAATTGGCAAAAAGACTTGCAATATGAACAGTTTTAATTGATTGCAAACGTAAGAATCTTCCACAAGCAAAGAAAAAGAAACAGAAAAGTTGGGTTTCATAATCAAAAGGCCCACAAAATTACTCAAATTCAAAAGAGGAAAAATGATGATTGAATTCTAATACATTTCTAACATCCACAGAGTAATTACTGCATGAGTGGTAGCAAGAACATGCAAAATCCCCATTACAGACATTAACATACACAGAATTCATTCATTAATGAATAGCACAAAAACACAAACGACATGAATGGGACCAAAAAGTCCAAATGGATCTCAACATTGAGAATTGAGAACTTCAAGAAGAATTTCAAGAAACATTATCCCTTTTCTTTTCTGCAAAATGGTTTCAAATGGGATCTAAAGAACACCCATGATCAAAATCTTGAATTGACCATAATTTCACTTCAAAATTGAGCCAAGAAATGCAATTTCTTGAAAAATTAGCAAAACCCCAGAAAAGAAAACTTGGATTCTGAATTCAAAATGATCTCAATCAGAATCTGAAGAACAGATTGTGGGTAGACATTGGACACGACCAAATCTTGAAAACCCATTGACAGAAACCCTTTATTGACTTAAAAGTTGAATTGAAGTTAGCAAGAAATGCAAGTAATTGACAAACTGGCAAAACCCCAGATGAGAATAGTTGGATTTAGAGCTCAATTTGTAGTCACAGAAGTTGGCAAGCACTCAACAATGGCGGAAAACGGATCTTCATCGCCAAAATCAGAGGGTAAAAAACCCAAGAATTCAACTGGAAACAAAGAATGAATCATAACCCACCTCCTGATAACTCCATAAAGATGCAAATTCCTCCATTCTTTCTGTTTCTTCCGTGTTGATTGTGGGAAAAGAAAGCAAAATCTTGTGGGGGGGAGTTTAGAGAGAGAAGGGTGTGGCGTCTTTTATAGAACAGAACTCTCAAATGCAAAGACAAGACAAGGGCAGAAATGAATTTAAAATAATAATAATAAAATTCGGTGGATTTTTTTTTTGAAAATTATATTAGAAAATTGGTTCCATTTTTTAGGGGTAATTGTCTGTTGCTAAAATAATCTCTCAAGCAGTTGTTATCAACCATAAATACGCGGTTTAAATTTTACATTTTAACAAAGGTAAGTTGCCTTTAATAAACCCTACTCAATAAACAACAATTTTCAACTTTTTATTTTTTTTAAATAATTTTTCATAAAATTAATTATAGTTTTAAAAAGGAAAAGTCTAAAAAAAACCCACAATTTTTTTTGGAACGGTTTAGTTCTAAACTATTTTTTTAAATAAAAAACCATTAAATATTTTAATTTTGAATGATTAAGTTATTTAACAATTTTTTTGAATGAAAAAACTAATTAAACTTTCACATGTTGAATGATTAAAATTCTGATTTTTTTTAAATAAATAAACCATCGAATTTTTACTAATCGGTGAATGTAATTTTTTTGCGATAGAAAATGTTGGTAACCAATTTTTATAAGTGTGATATTTTTTCTCAAATGTTTAGGGATTTAACCAATCAAAATAAAAACGATTATGGTTTTTTTATTTAAAAGAGAAAGTTAAATGATTTTTTCATTTAAAAAAAAAATAGTTCATGAGACTTAATCATTTAAAATAAGAAAGTTTAATCGTTTTTTATTTAAAAAAATAATTTATGAACTTAATCATTTAAAATGAGATAATTCGTTGAGTTTTTTTGAATTTATTGTATATCTTATTTATGTCAGAATCAGATACAATTATACATTAAAATATAAAAATTAAGGTAACGTTTGTTTTTTAAGAGGTGCTGAAGTCTTAAGTCTTATTTCACTTTTGATTAATAAGCAATGGTGCTGCAATCTTAAATTTGAATCAATAAGACTGTTTGTTTCTGTAAACTGATAATGTATGAATTCGTTTAAATTGTCTATTTTACCCATTAGAAAACTATAATGTTAAATTTATACACTTTCACATATTTATTCATCATTATTACGGAATTTAAATCTAAATTATATAATTAACATTCATTTAAACAAAACTATGTCATTAACGGTATTCAATACATTTAAATCCTATTAAAATACATCAATTGAGACAAATGAGGATCATTGAAAGAAATGATCGATTAAGCTTAATCGATTGAAAACATCATTGCCAAGAATTTAGAGAACAATAAGAAACTGATTTACCTCTTATTAGATAAAAGGTGAACAGGACATAAGTGTTTATAAAAAATGGAAAAACAAACAGTCTGAATGATCTTGTTACTTAACTAATCAGACATGAAATGCTAATAAGAGTTTTTTTTGAAAAAACAAACAAGATCTAAATCTTAATATTGATGTGTATAATTAAATCTTGATAATATATATAAGGGGTGTATTCATAAGATTTTTTTTTATTTAAAATGATTTTTAAATTATTATTTATTTATTTTTTGCGTTTTAATTTGGTTGTTATTATTTAATTTTTTTAATCAATTAAAATGTTGAGAACCGAGTAGCAAGGGGCAGAAGAACCTGTGAGAATGTCTTAGAGTGGGTGGCGGGGTCCTCTATGGCATTTCCATTGATGACATGGCAGGATGTTATTGGATGCACGTAGCTATAAATACAAAGAAACCGTCTTAGTGAAATCAAACATCAAATGATTTTCATAAAGTCACATGTAATTTTTGTAGTTTTTTCACTGCAATCCAAAATTTATTATATTATTAAAATATTTAATGTTTTAAATAAAATATTTTTTTATTTGAGAATATATAATTTCTAGAACTCTAACCAGTGAAAATACGCAGAAAAATCATTTCTCTCTCTCTCTCTCGCGTAAACAATCGTTTTTAGAAGATGAGAAATTCTATCATTTATTTTCTATTAGAAAATAATTAAATTTTTTATAAAATCACATATTCATTAAATTAATTGGATAATTAAAATTTAGTTATATTGGTTGTAATTTAAAATGTTGTATAATAATTTACCTCTCCCTCTAATGAAATATTTATTTTAGACAATAATTTAATTTTAGACAATAATTATGTCTGCATATCAAACGCTACCTAATGAAATATTTATTTTAGACAATAATTTAATTTACAATTTAATTATAAAATACAAATTTAGATTGGTTTGAAGGAAATAGTTCGAGTTAAATAGCATCATAATACGATTGTTAAGTTAATGTAAAAATAAAAAAAAATATTGCGATCATAATTTATAAATTTAATAAATATAATGTTATTATTGAAAATTCCTACAATGAAATCTAGAAAAAAAAAAACATATACTTACAAAAATTACTTTAGTTGCAAAAAATGGTGTTATCCAGTGGTGAGAACTGAGAAACTACACCTTGCACTAAATTCTACATCAACAGATGCTTTCATCCCGGTGACATGTTATTTTTCGTAGGTCAAAACCAACGAGCCAAAAATGTTAGCGTATTGCGTTTTTTGCATAAAGACAGAAGGTATATTTAAAATGTGGTTTACTGGTAGTTAAAATAACGTACATGTAAAATGTAACACGGATATCTGATGAATTATATTTGTTTTCAGATGTTTTGCAATATACTTACTGTATATTCATCATGTTTTTAACATTTATATTACACATAGAATAGTATCTAATAACCAGTACCCAAGTCAAAGAGCCTAAAACTAGCTTGTAAAATTCAACAAAATAAAATGTTCGAATTTATTTTGATATGAGTAATTATTTAAAGAAGAAAGACCAAAAAAATATCCAACGGACTCTTCAATTGATCGATTAAATTCTCGATTTATTTTTTGAACAAATAAACCCTTAGATTTTCTTAATTTAATTAAATAGATCATTTTCATCGGCAAACTCAAATTTAAAAAAGAAAAATTAAATTACTTGCCCCTTAGAAACAGAAATACGTTCTCCACAACCTTAGCTAGTCGTTGAATCACACTCTTGTCATCCGTCCTGCTACTCCGTCAATGTTGCGTCGTCACCACTGGTTTTTGTCCCGTCCCTTACTGCTCCTGCTTCTCATTCCCTTGCCTGTGCATCTTATTACAAGCTACGATGATCATCCAGAACAAAAACACAAAAACGAAACCCTAATTTCCAACTCTCACTTTCAATCCCTCGATTGTTCTTGAAGCTTCAACGAACTCCCTTTCTTGTCTTCTTAATATCGTGTTGAATCTCAAGTTTAGACGGAAATTTGTCATATGTACAACGGAGATGCATATCAGTATGTCAGTTGCCCTTTCTTGTTGATGCTATTGAACAAATGAGTTTTATGCGTTGTTTTTTCTACTGGTGTTGGTTCAAATAAGGTTTGTATCTGTGGTGAAATTCCTATATGCATTGTTTTAAGAATGTCTTTAACAGATTTTTAAAATTTTTTATTATAATCAAAATTCGAATGATTTTCCAAAAAAATTACACGTAATTTCAACAGCTTTCTATTATAAACATTACAAATTTATTAATTAAAATATTCAATATCTTTTATAAAATCTTATTTTTCTTTACTAAACATTTAATTTCAAGAATTCTAATCGATGAAAATAACGTAAAAAATCATTTTATCTCTCGTAAGCAATTATTTTTAAGTAGTTCGTCAAACTTGCGGAATTTTACTATTCGTTTCCTACTTTATTTTATTTTACTTCAAATTTTATATTTAGTTGTAAAAATGGCGTTAGAAAAACTACGATTTACACTAGATTTTATATCAAAGTTGGATAATTGTTAGTCAACACGTACTTTCATTCCGTTAACATGTTATTTTTTCTAGGTCAAAACAAACAAGCTAAAACTATTGCCAGATTGCATTTTTTGCATTAAAACCGAAAACATGTTTAAAGTGTGGTTTAGTATTTGCTTACATGAAAAATGTAACACAAATATTCGATGAGTCTTGAATATGTTTTCAGATGTTTTGCAATTTACTTATCATATATTCATCATGTTTTTAACATTTTTATATTAGAAAAAGAATAACATTTAATAAATATTGATAAGATACCGAACTCAAACAACCCTAAAAACTAACTCACTGTAACACCCTTAATTTTGAAGCTTTCATTTAGTGTCTATTTGCGACTGTTTGGTATTCAAGATGGTAAGGGAATAAGGTTTTTATATAATTATCAAACTAAAAGAGTTGGGGAGAGAATCAGATGTGAAAAATGAAGAAATGGCGCGAAATAAAGGTCCACGCGACCTGGCGTGTGACTTAGGTCACAGCCAGAGTCGTGCAACTCACTAGAACACACCCACACACCCTGGGGGATCGGTTGACTAACCACGCGACTTAAGTCGAGGGCTAGATCGCGGGATTGACCTGATGAGTTTTAAATGTTCGATGTTTAGGGTTTTGTCTCATTTTTCTCCCTCTCTAGTATACAAAAAAACTATCAACCCACGAAACCCATCTGACCCAACCCTAACAACCCAATTAAACGCAACCCTCCAACCCGCTAATTAGAGAGGGTTGAATTTGAGTTAGCCTAACTCAACCTAACACAACCTGTCGCTAACGTGTATTATTTCGATAAAATTATATTTATATACATTTTATATTTACATCCATTACAATCGACAAACCAAATACATATACATATATTAGTCTAACTTGCAGCCTAAAGCCCAAAATTAATCCAACTAATTAGTCGGGCGCTCTACGAGCTATATAGTATATCAAACATTAAACAGTGATCCATGTTCTGTCATGTCCACTATACCAAACTGCCTACAAGAACCATCTCTAATAATACTTCCTACAAAAGAAAATGTTTTTACTGATAAGAACCTTTCAATGAAAATGCTCTAATTATTAACGATATAAAAGTTCATTAATTCCTT